AAAGTGGTGAGAGTGGATATTCTTGTCTTCTTCCTGATCTTGGGGAAAAATCTCAGTTTTTCACCAATGAGTATGATGTTAGCTGTGGGTTTTTCATCTGTGGTCTTTATTATGTTGAGATATGTTCCCTCTAAACATACTTTGTGGAGGATTTTTATGATGAATGGAATTTTTACCTTGTCAAATGCTTTTTCTTCATCTATTGAAATGATCATATGTTTTTCATTTTTTCTCTTGTTGATGTGATGTGTCGTGTTGATTGTTTTGCAAATATTGAACTACCCTTGCATCCTGGGAATAAAACCAATTTGATCATGGTAAGTGCTTTCTTTAATGTATTGTTGGATTCAGTTTGGTAATATTTTGTTAAGGATTTTTGCAACTATGTTCATCAGGGATATTGGCCTGTAGTTTTCCTTTTTGGTAGTGTCTTTATCTGGTTTGGGTATCAGGGTAATGCTGTTCTCAGAATGAATTTGGATGCTTTCCTTCTTTAATTTTTTGGAAGTTTGAGAAGAATATGTATTAACTCTTTAAATGTTTGGTAGAATTCACTTGTGAAGCCATCTGGTACTGGACTCTTGTTTTTTGGGAAGTATCTGATTACTGACTCAATTGCACTACTAGTGATCAGTCTGTTTAAATTTTCTATTTCTTCCTGATTCCATTTGGGGAGATTATATGTTTACCCATTTCTCCTAGGTTGTCTAACTTGTTGGCATAGGATTTGTCATAATATTCTCTTATAAACCTTTGTATTTCTGTGGTGTTGGTTATTTCTCCTCTTTCATTTCTGATTGTTAGTCCTCTTTTTTTCTTTTAATGAGTCCAGCTAAAGGTTTATCGATTTTGTTCATCTTTTCAAAGAACCAGCTCCTGGTTTCACTGAGCTATCCTATTGCTTTTGCAGTTTCTATTTCATTTATTTCTGCTCTAATCTTTATTATTTCTTTGTTTCTACTGGTTTGGGGTTTTGTTTGTTGTTCTTTTTCTAGCTCCTTTAGGTGTAAGGTTGTTTGAGATTTTTCTTCCTGCTTGAGGCGAGCTTATGTTGCCATAAACTTCCCTTTTAGAACAGCTTTTGCTGCATCCCGAAGATTTTGGCCCATTATATTTTCATTTGTCTCTATGTATTTTTTTTTAATTTCCTCTTGGATTTCTTGGTTGACCCTTTCATCGTTTACTAGCACATTCTAATAGCCTGCATGTATTTGTGTTCTTTCCAAGTTTTTTCTTGTGGTTGCTTTCTAGGTTCATAGCACTGTGTTTGGAAAAGATGCATGGTATGATTTTGATCTTTATGAATTTATTGAGACTTTATGACTTAATATATACTCTGGAAAATGTTCCAGGTGTAATAGAAAATGTTTATTTATTCTGTTTTAGGATGCACTGTTCTGAATAGATCTATTAGATTCATCTGGCCCAATGTGTCATTCAAAGCCACTGTTTCCTTGTTGATTTTCTGTTTGGATGACCTGTCATTTATGTAAGTGGGGTGTTAAAGTCCCCTACTATTATTTTATTATTCTCAACTAATTGTGCTCACTTCGGCAGCACATATACTAATATTATTCTCCACTAATTCCTTTATGTTTGTTATTGGCTGCTTTATGTATTTGGGTGCTCTCATGTTGGATGCATATTTACAATTGTTATATCTTCTTGTTGGATTGTCCCCTTTATGATTATATAGTGTCTTTTGTCTCTTGTTACAGTCTTTGTTTTAAAGTCTATTTTGTCTGAGAGAAGTACTGCTACCCCAGCTTGCTTTCCACTTCTATTTACATGATAAATGCTTTTCCATCCCTTCACTTGCAGTCGGCATGTTTCTCTAGGTCTGAAATGAGTCTTTTGTAGGCAGCATACAGATGGGTCTTGTTTTTGTTTATCCATTCCATCACCCTGTGTCTTTTTTAGGAGCATTTAGTCCATTTACATTTAATGTAATTATTGGTAAATACTCTCTGCCATTTTGTTACTTGTTTTATAGTTGTTTTTGTAGTTCTCTGTTCTGTTCTTCTCTTGCTCTCTTCTCTCACGGTTGGTTGGCTTTTTTTAGTGATATGCTTGGATGCCATTCTCTTTATTTTTTACATATCTGTTCTCGTTTTTTTGATTTGTGGTTACCAGTAGGTTTGTATATAACATCTTCTGCATTTAGCAATCTGTATTAAGTTAATGGTCCCTTATGTTTGAACCCATTCTTGACTCCTCTCCACCCCACCCCCATTTTAGGTACATGGTGTCATACTTTATACTCTTTTGTGAGTCCCTTGACTGATTTTTATAGATATTTTTTACTCCTCTTGTGCTTCCTAAATTTCTTACTGCTACTTATGGTCTTTCCTTTTCACTCAGTGAATCCTCTTTCCCATTTCTTATAGTGCTGATTTAGTCACCATAAATTCATTTATGTTTTGTTTACCTGGGAAATTCTTTCTCTCCTTCGATTCTTAATGATAGCCTTGCTGGATAGGGTATTCTTGATTGCAGGGTTTTTTTCCCCTTTAGGCACTTTGAATATATCATGCCACTCCCTTCTGGCTTGCAAACTCTCTGCTGAAAAATCAGCTGATAGCTTATGGGGCTTCCTTTGTATCTGTTTTCTTTTTCTTAAGAATTGTCACTACTTCTTGCCATTTTAATGATTGTATCTTGGTGTGGGCCTCCCTGGGTTGATTTTATTGGGGGCTCTCTGTGCCTTCTGGATCTGTTTTTCCCCCCACATTTAGGAAGTTTTCAGGTATTATTTCTTTAAGCAAATTTTCTACCCCTTTTCTCTCTTCCCCTGGCATCCCTATAGTGTGAATGTTGTTATGCTTGATGGTGTCACAGAATTCTCCAAGTCTCTTTTCTCTTTCTGTCTTTCCCTCTCTCCCCTGTTCAGGTTTATTGCTTTCCATCACTCTGTCCTCCAGGTTGCTGAGCTCTTCTCCTTCTTCTAGTCTACTATTTATTTCATCTAGTGTATTTTTATTTTCAGCTATTGAGTTCTTCATCTCTGGTGATTTAGGTTTCCTCTTTGTTGAGGAACTCACTGAGGTCCTTTACCCTTCACCAATCCAGTGAGTATCTCTATGACTATAACTTTAAATTCTGTATCACAGATATTAATCTTCTCATTTTTGTTTAGGTCTCTCGCTGTGATTTAGTCCTGTTCTTTCATTTGGGACATATTCCTCTGTCTCATTTTGTCTAACCTTCTGTGTGTAAGCAATGTCAGCTACATGTACTGCTCTTGAAAGGAGTGGCCTTATGAAAAAGAGGCCCTATAGTGCCCTGCAGTGTCCCCTGTTGACTACAACCTGGCACTTCAGGAATGTCTCCTATGTGTGTTGTGTGTGCTCTACTGTTGTGGATAAGTTTTTGCCTTCATCACAGTAGTATCGCACTGCAGGGTTCTTTCCCTGTATTGCCCTCTAAGTAGCTTTTGTTAGTGGATGGGGCCTGCAGTTAGATCAGATATCTTCCCCCAGCCTACTACTAGGGCTGTAGTCTGGCTGGTATGTGTGATTATCATCCCCTTTTCCAAGGCCAGGAATCTCTTTGGAGCAGTGCTAGTCCTTTTGGGGTTGCTTACACACTGCCAGGCTTGTGGCACTACTTTGGATGGGCTCCAGCCAAGGGCATTTTGGAGGAGGCCAGTCAGCAGAATTTGGGACATGGCACTTGGTTTTAGCAAGGTTTATGTACATCTGCTATGGGAGGGGACATTTCTGTAGGTGAACCTGGGTGCAGTTGCACTGCTAGCAAGTTAGGTAGCATGTGTTGGTGCTGTGCTGGTTCCTGTAGGTGTCTGTGTATCTAGGCTGGGGAGCAGGGGAGGGAAATGGTACCCACCAGCTCCTTTGTTCCTAGAGCAGTCTCCCAATGACCTCTGCCCCTCTGCACACACTTTGAGAATAAAAACAAATCTCCCTTCAGTATACCCTGGGCCTTTGGCTCCCCCAGAGCCAAACCCACTAATTTTTAATGTTCTAGGGGTTAAACCAATTTTGAGAACTCATGAAATTATACCCAACTGGTTTTCAAAGCCAAATGGTATGGGGATTAATCTTCTCTGTGTAGGTTCCCCATCCCTGGGGTGCCTGGCATGAGCGTCTGTGTTTTTCCCCTATCTGTACCCATGGCATCCCTCCCTCCCATGGACACGTTTAGCTCCTGAGTACATCTCTTCCCTTCCTATCCTCTTCATGTGGCCTCTTCTCTACATTTAGTTTTGGAGTTTGTTGTGCCAGTCTTCAGATTATTTTCTGGGTTATTTACACTAATGTGGTGTTATCAAGGTATGTCCCTGGGACAAAGTGAGCTTAGGGTCCTCCTACTCTGCCATCTTCCCCAGAAGTCCCAATCATTTTTAAGTTAGGACTGCCAACCTGTCCAGCATTCAAATATTCAGACATCCCTTTGGGAAATTTGTGGTCATAAAATCAGGCAACGATGGTTAAACTGACCAAAAGCTTGACAACTAACCAGTTTACTTAACCATTTGATTATATTAACAATGCTTCTCTCTTTGAACAATGTGTAGTGATATACTCCATATGAGCCCCTGGGTTAGATACTGAGGAGTCATTCCTAAAAAACTAGTGCCTCTACCCTTGAAAAACCCAAGGTTTGTTGGGGGGTCACAGACACATATACCATGACGCCATGGGGAAAACTAGGGAAGCATGGTAGAAAGGCACTTACCTTTTGCTTATGAAGCACCTAACTAGATGCCAGACACGATCTTCAATCCTCTCAAGACCCTCACTCTCCTTACAGATGAGGAAAGAGAGAGGTAGGTAGTTTCTCACACAAATCCAGGCCCTCCAACCTCAGGGCCTACCTGGGCGTTCATCTGAGCAGTGAAGACAGTGGTTGGGATGGCACAGCCTCTTCCCCTGACCCAGCCTGACCCTGGGGTGTAGTCGCAGAGGAGGAAGATGACATACAAGGCCTGCTGTCTGAGTTGTCCTCATGCTTGTGTTTCCCATGTGTCTGTCTTCCCTCAGCCCCCAAATCAGCAGTCTTAGAAGAAATGCTCCATAACCTAGATTTCTGTGACATTTTGGTACTTGGAGGGGACCTGGACCCAAGACAGGAATGCTTAGAGCTCAACCACAGTGAGCTCCATCAGCGACACCTGGATGCCACTAACTCCACCGCAGGTTACTCCATCTATGGTAAGGCCACACTTGGCCCCTTCACCTGGTGGTCTCCTTTCAGAGTGCCTTCATGCAAGAGTCATGAGTGTGATGGCACTCTGGCACCTGTGGAATAGGGGTCATGCGGAGACTCTTGACCTCAGAGCATGGACTTATAGCCCCTCCTTCCATGAATTACTCCAGTATCTTGAGGACCTGGCCCACATCTCATTCCTGGGAACATCTACAGAAAGTAGGTGCATGCTTTATCTTATAATGTTTGATCTCAGCAAATATTATAGCAGCATTTGATAGACTGAGGCCAAACATTCTGGTCAGAGACCAATGTATTTGGAAATCCCGTGGGTCAGTTTAATTGGCTCCTTAGAACTTCTGTGCCTACTCATTGCCCTTAAGCATCTCAAAATTCAGGAGATTCACAAGTCTCAGCAGCCACAGCCTGTATCCCCCATCTTCTGCCTTCTTATGACAGGTGTGGTCTCTTGGCACAGGTGTGGGCTCCATGAGCCGCTATGAGCAGGTGCTGCATCACATCCGCTACCGCAACTGGCATCCAGCTTCCCTGGAGTCCCGACGGTTTAGAATCAAGTGCTCAGAACTCAATGGACGTTATACTAGCAATGAGTTCAACCTCGAGGTGAGTGAGCCCTGCTATCATTAGGGAATCTCACACCCACTTGTTCCTCATTTGTCTGGGCCCACCTGCCACTCTTGGTCAGCAGCACCTCTCCCTGCTCTTCCCAGGTCAGCATCCTCCATGAGGTCAGAATGTCAGACAAGGAGCACGTCAGCCACCTTATTGTGCAGCCTCCCTTCCTACAGTCTGTCCACCACCCCGAGTCCCGGAGTAGCATCCAGCGCAGTTCAGGTAGGTGGCCTTGGAGGAAGGACCTCAGGATACCAGGTGGTCACTGTGATTGAAGACCACCCACTAACAGGTATGGTGCAGGAGCTACAGGTACCCAGAAATGGGAAAGCTGGGAGCCCTACCTCTCAGATACTCACAGCCTCAGTAAGTGGCCAGTCAGGGAAAGAAGTTACACACAACATATCATAACAGAGTTTAGTACAGAGTACTAGGGTAAAATCTTCCAAGTCTTTTAGGCCTCAGAGCCACATCCTGTGTGAAGCTTTCCATGAACCCCTTCATATGCTCACACACATGCATATGTACACCATATTGGGGTCTCCCACCCTTATTTCTGTTCTAGTCTTGCCATTTATATTACTGTCTGGTGGGCCCTCCATCCTTATGAAATTCCACAGTCACCTGCCTGTCAGTGGACGCTGCCCTAGAGTCTGAGGGGGAAAGCCAGAGATAGAATTTACATCAGTTATTTCATTTACTTCCCACAATTACCCATTGTATAGATGAAGAAAATAAAGCCCAGACAGAGTAAGGAGCTGGTCCAGAGTTCTACAGCTGAGAAATGGTAGAGCAGATTTTAACCTACACATGGATGTTTCATTCACACGCCATCCCAAGACTGAGCTAGTCCTTCCGTTCACCATGTCACGTGGATTCCTTCCTTGTTCCAGTGGTCCCAAGCATCGCCACAGTGGTCATCATCATCTCCGTGTGCATGCTGGTGTTTGTCGTGGCCATGGGCGTGTACCGGGTCCGGATCGCCCACCAGCACTTCACCCAGGAGACTGAGGCTGCCAAGGAGGCGGAGATGGATTGGGACGACTCTGCGCTCACTATCACAGTCAACCCCATGGAGGTGATCCCCGTGCAGGGGCTGGGATCTTGGGGCAGGATGCTTCCCCTCCACCAGCTCCACCTTTCCTGTGCCGGAAGCCCTGCCCCAACTAGCCCAGCCCCACTGACCCTTCCCTTTTCTGAGCACCTCCAGCCCACGCAACCTGCATGGACCATACTTTCCTACCAGCTGCATTCACTGATTAAAAACGTGTGAATTGCTCTCACCCTACAAACAGAACCAGACATTTCTTAAGACAAGCAGCCATGTGGTGTCTATCCCTTGCCTCCCCCATAGTATTTAACTCAGAGCTGACTAACACTTAAAAACTGAGTATTGAATTTTTGATTAACAGTGTAAATTAGATGGCTTTGCTCCATACTGCCTGCAGAGCTCATGTAAAGGTTCAGAACAGGTTAAAACAAAAATATAACATCACTACTTGCCATTCAGCGAGGCCCCATTATACCAGACACTGCATAAGGAGCTCTGTATATACCACCTCATTTAATCTTCACAGCCCTCTGTGAAGTAGGGGTCCTCATCCTCACCAAGGTGGGAACCAACTCTGAGAGGAAAGTAAAAGTGCTCAAACTTATACAGCTGGTAATGGCATTGCCAATATTCAACGCAAGGTTACCAGATCCTAACATTCATAACTTTCAGTTAGCCAGCAACCTCCAGCATCCACCCATGAGGGTCTAAGACCCCAGCTCTGGACATACAAATATCAAAGTACCTTTTGGTCTGCCCATGGGCCCTGGGTGCTAGAGGCAGGGGAAGATCAGGAAAAGTCACTGAGAAATGAAGATTCTCCCAGTTTGGTCCTCAGCGTCCCCCTAAGTTGGCCTCATGCTCCAATTTCATAGCCAGAGTGCCAGTGCAGCTCAGCTTCTTCTAGCACACGGTGTAGGTATAATGCTGAGTGCACCACTGTAGGAACACCAGCATCTCCCCCTCAGAGAGCTGAGCCTCAGGTGTGGCAAATAAACCACTATGCCTAGAACAATCTGAGTACCAGGCAAGAGTGTTCTTACCGAGGGCTAACCTGCTGATTCCAATGGTCAGTGAAGCATGAGTAGGGAGATCCATTGAGGCTCAAGTATTCAGGAAAGATTTCCTGGAGGAGGTTAGCTTGAGAGAGGCCTTGAAGAATGGGGGCAGGGGGCAAAGTAGAAGGGAAGCCACTCCAGGGAGGGGACACAATCACACAACAGCAAACATCAACTCAAAACATAAATCCAAAACTAAGATAAGCTGGCCAGGAGGGTAGGGGGAATGGAACTGGAAAAGAGTGGGGTTGAGTTTGAGGACACAAGTCTCAGAAGGTGAGGGAAGGCATGGAAAATGAGGACCATGGTCCTTCCCAAAGGAGTAATTCGGAGGGGCAGTACACCTGAGTCTTGGCTTAAAAGACGACCTGCTCCCAGAGAATATAATCTCACCTGGGAACAGGCCGTAAGCTTAAATGCCATTATCTCCTGGAAAAGCAAACACTTAAGGCTTGGAAAGTTCCATAGAGACAGGCTTCAGAAATGCCAGAAAGCAAACCTTGGCATAAAAGGCTCATTAAATGATGGAAGGGATGGGCTTCAATGTCTTGTGTTTAAAACACACAATTTACCTTGAGTGCAGATCTTAGAATTTGCGATTTCTTCGCTGTCCTTAGCCCTCCCATTTCCCTTTCACCAGAGGACTGCCCACCCAGGAGGCAGATCTCCAGGCCCAAGGATTTAGCGTGAAGGGAAAGGAATCCAAGGGGCCCAAAATATTCCCTTAGTGGAGGAAAAAACGTCTAGGTTCCAAAGCAGCTTTTGCTCAGCCCCTGATGAGCATATACCTTCTCTCCCTGACATCCAGAAACATGAAGAACCAGGGCATGGAGAAGAAGAGACTGAGGAGGAAGAGGAGGAAGAAGTAGAGGAAGACGTGAGCTCCAGCAGCAGTGACTCAGAGGACAGCGAAGAGGAAGAGGAGGAGGAAGGGATGGGCAGGGGCGGACATGGGCAGAGTGGAGCCAGGCAAGCCCAGCTCGAGTGGGACGACTCCGCCCTTCCCTACTAGCGCCCGGCTGTCTGCGCCCACCCACGTGTCCCTTTTGTAAGCCTCACCCCAGTGTACACCTAAGTCTATCACATGTCGCCTCTGATCTCTAGGACAGGTCTGGGCAGGCCCTCCCCAGTGTCCTGGAAGCCACCCGTTATGCCTTGGGCACTCCCTATGTCCCAGCCCCAGGGTAGTTCCAAGAAGCCCAGGGTCATTAGTGGAGACTTCAAGGTGGACTTTGTCCTGTAGCCCTCACTTTTCCTGCCCTGGGCTCACCCAGCATCCTGCCAGCCAATCTGCAGAGTTATGCCATTGCTTTTCTCTGCAGGGAAGAAAGTAAGCCTTTATGTCACTCACCTCCCCCGGGTTCCCCATGGCCAGGGACCTTGGGTTCCAGCTCACTGTGCGTGTACCTGACCCAGTCTCCTCTTCCACACAGACCAGCAGGTTCTCTTTACCTGACTCTTCAGGTGGCTTCACACAGGCAAGGTGGTCAGACTTCACACACAAGAGGTCTCAGTCCTTAACACTTTAAAGGAAAATCCTTGTTGAGGCAAAAATTAAATGTATAGGGAAAGGTTCACACATAGGCGCGTGCACACCCACATGCATACATACACCCTCCCCAGTTTGGAGAACCTTTCCCCTTTATCCTTTTGGAGGCCACATAAAGCTTAGATGAAAAGTCCAAAACCAAGAATAGGTCCTTGACCACAGCAGGGCCTGAACCCCAGCCAAAGCTATCTGCAAACCTACCTGCCTTGGTGCCCTGCTGGGGGCTGCCACCACAGGACAATGCAGAAACCAGGAAGCACGCCACAGAGGCACTGCCCCAGGCAACAGCATGACAAGCCTGCAGCCAGGGACCAGAAGGAAAGGCTGATGAGATGAGCAGCTAGGCGTCATGGTGGGCACAGATCTGGGGGACAGGGGTGAATGGTGTCTCCTGAGCCAGAGGTTACCTCATCACCTCATCACCTGTCTCACACTGTTTTTCCTCTTAAAAAAATACATTCCTCTTGGATGTATTAGGACAAGCATGAACTGTGCTGGATCTAAAATGAAAAGTTTGGAGATCTGAATGCTAGGAATTAGAAGCATATCTGTGATAGTAATAGCCGCTGCTTTATTCTCATAAAAGGAGCAACACTTTGGGTGGAGGGCAAATAGATCTGAAAACCTAATTTCTTTCTTTCTTCTTATTTTAATAAGAAAATCTTTTCCACCTCCATCCTAATGTGGACACCTCATGACGAGAACTGTTGCTATAGTAACTCATCTGTGCTCTTTTGTGACCAAGAGAATAGCAGGCAAGAAACAGGGCCATCCTAGGACTTCCACGAGGCTCTGAGACCATCTTTGTTTTGAATTTCTTTGGCTTTGTCCTCAGTATGTACAATCTGTCCCCGTCCTCCTGCAGTCCCTACCCCATCCCATACTGGCATAGGCACAGAGCTGGCCCCTAGTCACAATGGCATTCAGGTTCAAAAGAAGAGAATCTGTTCATTTGATTCACCATGTCACCAAAACAGAGCATAAGGGGGACCATCATCAGTGTCTTCCACCCAGTGAGGATCCGTGATAGGCCTTTGCAAAATTCTGATTCAAGAAAACTACCTTAAGTGGCTTTTTCCACCACTGAAAGTGGTTTTTGCAGATCTGTTCCCTCCTTTGAGCCTCACAATAATTATATCAGGGAGTTGGGATATCTATTGTCAGGAACATTTCCCTTAAGAGTAAACTGAGGTTCAGAGATTGAACATCTTGTTCAGAGTCATTCAGAGGCATAGACGAGACTAGACTCCCCACCTTCCACTCTTGGTCCAGTGCCCACCACCCTGCTTCTACTTATATTCATACTTATGCAGCTAACAGGCATTGCTGAGGACCTACTGTGTGCTAAGCACTCAGCCAGCAATGATGGGAAATGATAAAGCTGAGATGAGCTCCTCCCCCTCAGAGACATAAAAGTTGCAAAGGAGAAACAAATAGGCATAGAAATTATACAAGAGACCGACACAGAGTGGGGAGAGAAGTCACAGGAAGAAGAGGAACACAATCACAAGTGCTCTTGTTTTTTCCTTCTTAGGGAAAAATGAAGGGAGAAGTTTGGAATTTTATATTCATTGAATGGAAATAGACACATCTGTGAATTCTCCCAACCAAAAAATAACCCTTTTCTATCAGGCTGTCTGCACGTCTACAAGGAGAAAATAGGTAACGCTGCTTAGCCCTCCCAATTCCCTTAAAAAATTCTCCAGTTGGGCATTTAGGAGCTAACAGAATTCTCCCAAAATTATGGCAGTAAAAGCCAAATTTATGGTTTAAAACTAACTTTTGTTATTCATAAGATAATTTGTTTTTACTGTTTCAAGTTTTTATATAAATTCTAGGTAGTTAACATTTAGTGTAATATTAGCTTCAGGAGAATTTAGTGATTCATCACTTACATACCACACCCAGTGCTCATCACAACGAATTCTTTTTAATTGGATTTCCATTTAAAACATTAAGTCTGGTTTTCATAAGAGCACCTTGCTCAGTATGTTCGGATTGGTTGGGGTGGGAAGGTGTTCCTCATGCCCTGTGGCTGTCTCCAATTTCTGCATCACTTACTCAAGGTTGAGTGAGCTATTTGGGGCATACATCAGGGAGGGTATGGGAGAAGCAGATCAAAGTGGCATTTGGCTAGGGTAGCAGAGTTCAATCATCTGTGACTAGATTGACAGAGGGAAACAAGGAGAACAACACATCAGGACCCTCTCCATCAGCTCCTATTGTAGGAGGTCACACTGCATGTCAGCTCCACAAGTGAGACACTTGATGCTGCTAGATCAACGGATGTTTATCACATCCCATGCCCTACTCATCACCATGGATGAGAACAAAGAGGAATGGTTATATAAAAGGAGCAAAAGCATCAGGTGGTATTCAGGTGAGTGGCAAGTAATGTCACTTGCCCTCTACCAGATATTCTAATTACGAGTGAAAAATGTCACTAATCAGCCCAGCATTTTCCAGACTCCATATGCTGGTATCAGGGAACCAGAACTCCCAGATGGCCCAGACGCCATGCAGCCTGGCATCTAGACAGCAGCAGCAGCAGATGCAGGCTCAGACCCCAGAGGAACAGCTGACCAATCTGGCCACAGACCAGACCATTGTTTATCTTGCCAAGAGGATGACCAGATTCTGTTCTCTGGAGCTGGAAAATAGGCTAAAACCTCTCAAGTGATTCAGGTGACAGGGAGGAAGAGGAGGTTGAAATGGAAAAAGCCAGTATAGACTGAGTTGCCTCAATGGAGTAAAGGAATCAACCAGTTGGTCACCTGTCTTAAAGAATACTGAAAGTATATTCTAGTAAGTTAATCAAATCCTTTAAGTCTGACCAAGGCCCAAATTTATGTAGATAACAAAAATGTGATTTTAGTGGGATCTTAGTTCATTACCACTTTCTTGAATGTTCTCCATCATCCTATCAAGCAAAGTTTAGACCACACATCTCTGCAGGTAACAAGAGCTGTACCTTGTGGACATGGACCCTCCAGGGAGAGGGCTCCTGGTGGGAAGCAATGTCCTCCGTGCCTGTACATACAGCAGATGTCGGCAAACTCTATCTGTAAAGAGCCAGATAGTAAATATTTTGTACTTTGCAAGGCCATATCGTCTCTGTTACAAGTATTCAACTCTTCCACCATAACATGAAACAAGCCACAGACAATACATAAACCAATGGATATGGTATGTTCCAAAGAAAATTATTTATGAATACTAAAAAAGCCGACCATTTGAATTCATATTTTTACATATCATGAAATTTTATTACTTTTTTTTTTTTTTTACTTTCAACCTTTTAAAAATTGAAAAACTCTTCTGAGCCCATGGGCCATACAAAACCCAGCAGCCAGCCAGATGTGGTCTGCGGGCTTTAACTTACACACCTCTACCATACGTTCATGAAAAGCAGTCCTCCATTTGCCAAGGAAGAGAAAATTGCTGTCTTAGACCCTTCTTTCAACTACCCAGGGGCCTTTGCCTCCAAAATGAACAGCAACTCCATAGCCCTTAATTAAGCTGTTTTAAATGTCCATGTCCCAGCGAGGAAATGACAACAACCAAAAAACAAAACAAAACAAAAACAAAAAAACACCTGTTACTGGTGGAATTGACTCAAACACAGGCAATCATTCATCATTCATCTAGAACTCCAAGCTCTGGGTCCAGGAACTGACTGACCACTGAGCGCTAACCCCCTAGAGCTCAGGGTCAATTCCCAGGAGCAGCACCTTCCCTACACGACTCAGCCCATAATGATTTCTAAGCAGGAGTGTTCATTATCTCAGACTGATTTCCATTTTAGCCCTGCTCATGCCATTGCTCTAAAAATGATCCTAAAGACTGTTGACTGAATCAATAGCAACATAATCAGTAGAAAGCCCTACCCGGCACATTTCAAAATTAGCAGTCTACTTGGCTCTATGATTCAATATTAGCAAGAGGAAGAAAAGAGGACTTTTTAACCATACTCTCATTGAAATTAACCAAATCAGTTTTACAAAAAAATTGAGGGAGTGAGTTTAATTCTTTGAAATAATTTATGAGTGAAAAGTATATGATTTTTAGGTACAATCATTCTCAGGCCTTTGGGGGATCTCCAAAGCCCCTGCAAAATACTTTGGAGGGCTATGGATGGTATAGGTTCCTCTATCTGCATCAGACTTTTATCGAGGCTGACAAGCCAAAGCCCTTGGCACAATTTAATTTTCATGTAATCACTTTCTGCTGCCCTACTCTAGGCAAAGGAAATGAGCAGTCAAAGTTTTGAAGTCTACTCCAGACCTTCATTTCCCTGCCTTTATTTACTTTATAAATTTATTCTGTACCTACTTTATAGATCTTGCTCTAGTTTTCCATTTGGCACCAACTACAAAGGAGTGTTGGCTTTATAAGGGCTATGGGCTAGATGTCGAACTTGACTCTCTCCCAGGAAGACACAAAGAGACACAAGAAGTTACCTC